AATATGTTTTTTAAACTACTGTGCAATAACACAATGTTTGCCAAGGAAATTGTTCAGATTAGATCTCTGAATTAGATTATAAAAATGTCTCAATAGACAATCAGTAGTAGATCACTTCTTAAAAACAACTGATATGTACGTCCTATATCTCCGGATTCGGTACGGCAGAGTTAATATTTACCATAATATCAAATAATGTCCACTGCTGCAGACTTCATTGATGTATATTTAGAATGTAGCCCGAGTCATTGTTTGTTGTCCTGTCCACTTTGTTTGCAGTAGCATTAACAAGGCCTTACAGCTAGCTAATCCAGAATTACTGTCTTAAAAAGGATTAGCTCTCAATCCTGTTGTAATTCCATTCTCAGTATATTATATTAGACTACAGGTGCATCGCTCCATGGCCCGGGAAAAGGTTGTCATCGCCAAACTGTCACATGAAACCGCCTCTCAGTTCCTCTTCCCTCCTGACTCTCGCCGGCATGAGAGCAGAATTTGACATCCATCAACCGCGTTGAGCCACGATGAAGTTTCACTCGCTTTACACTTCAAACATTCCCTGCTCACAGCTGGAAGCCCATCATGAGCGCAGAGTATTTTGAAGTATTGGGAAAGAGCATGATAAAGCTGGAATCCCGATGGCTTCTCTCATAACAACAGCACAACATTTTCACTTCAGCAAGATGTCACCTCAGTCTCAATTCTCAATCATCAGTGTTGTCTCACTCTGAGATGTGATGGGCCCCGGCGTTGTGCTGTTATTATGGGAATCAAAGGTAATGAATAAGTCTATACAGCTGTGAACAAGGAAAAAAGAAACATGTGACTCAACCCTTATTTAGTAAGGTACACACTATCAGTATAACACAAAGCAATACAATAGCACTGCAACCAACAATGCTCTAAACTTAGGATAACACCGTTATATTCCAGCCAGGTAAGGATTCTAGACGTTAAATACTTAATCACTCGCAGGGAGACATATTACCCCGGTAGCACCACCGCGGAAACTCTCAGGTGTGCTGGTCTCCAAAGGAATCTGTACCTTTGAAAAATGGAGCCTTGAAAGTATTCATTAGTTAGCCGAGCATTGAGATTACCCTGCTAATGCTAGTGTGATTTACTGTAAAAGGAAAAATGTGGGCTATACGGGAAAGAAAAAATGCTTTTCAGCTTCTCAAAAGCACCATTTCTAAAAGAAAGTCGAAGAACTTCAGTCGGGCTTCTCGCTGAGTAGCAGCTTTAGTATCCATTAATGGACATACTGTATGTCTAGTTTCAGCTCGGAGGAACCACTCAGTGCTCACTGGAGGAAAAAGAAACTGATCAATGAGTGCTGTGTGCAGTTCAATAAGTGCATTGATCATCACACAAACAAACACATCACAACCATAGCGGGAAAAAGAGCGCCGGGGCAAGGTCAATACCTCTCAACCCGAGCAAATGTGAGTCTGCTAAGGCCTGTTTTCCATTGCCCTTTAACACAGCATCAGTCAACTGATGTACAGAAAGAACACTATGAACATGTAACATGCTGTCAGTTCAACTCCTTTAAAGATGCTAAGTATTTCAAGGTGTTGGCAGTTGCAAGTTGAACTTTAGCAACCAATGATAATTCTAAGATGGGTGAGGAAACAAATACAGAGTTCTCTTTAAACCACAGCCTGTCCATTGGCAAGAAAATGTTTTCAGGTTATTGAAGTCTTCGTGTGTCCTTCATGATATGTACAGACGGTCGTTTTTCAAAGAATCTCAGGCACAGAAAACAGACAAAGATAAAGATCCAGAGATTTCTTTTATCAAATATAGACACATGATGACTTGTCTGGTCTGAACAAAAGGACAACATTGGTATAATGAGGAAGCCAGACGGGTACAAACTGTACGGGGTCATTTTCGGTAGAACTGTCTCAGTAGTATTGAGTTTACGGTTAAGTCTGGGTAAATCAGATTTGGTGTGTACGTCTTTAAAGTTGTTTTAGCAGAAGACACCCTCTTGTTATGGAAACACATTATGTAATCCACATTTTCATTCAAGCTAATTATTTTTAACCGTCTCTAAATATCTTTCTGGGCCTTATTATGTAGTTTGGCATAACAGCTGATGTACAACTCCAAAACACAAGGATGCAAAGATGGCGGACGGATCAAGATGCCTATAATTTGCTGAATGCATCAGATGGCAATTTGGCCCAGTAGCAAATGGGAAAAGCCTCAAGAGTTGCTGCAAGAGTGAGGCATTGGTTTTACCGTGCAGAACTGTTTGAAAAACACAAGATAGCTAGTTCACAGACTTCAATGAAGTTCTTGATTTTGTTTAGATGTTTGATCTTTAAGACTAAGATAAGTCCTTCTCAAGTTTTGAGTTGTGTTCCGGGATTTAACTCACCTTTCACCTGCAGAAATCTGACACTTGTCCCATGTGCTACGGTGGCCTGAGAGTGACAAAAACAGTCGTAACATTCGTAGCCTCCGTAGTTTAATGCCTTCTTTAAGTCTTTGATTTCCCCACAGATAACTTTCGCACTGTTCTTGCCACAGGGCAGAAGTAAAAAATAACATGTCCCCTTTGAACACTTTTCACCATTCATTTCCACAAAGCACGTTACAGCAGGGAGATAATCCGGACGGTTTGCTCTGAAGTTTCTCGTGATGCTTCATGGGGGGGTCAGCCGGCAGCTGCTGGAGGTTAGGTATCTGGGATGAAGTCCTCTCCCCAAACGACGTCAACTCTATTTTAATTCTCCGCGCAGCATGGTGCATCGACACCTGGGCTGAACACATGGTTAAAATTAGGGCCACTGCAGGGGACCTTGACAAACAAGTGACTTTGACTGAATTTATCAGGGCGTCCCCGGACACTTCTCACACACACTACCGTGTTGGAGGACAATCTTTAGTTTTCTTTTGTTATCTATCAGTGGTCATTTCCGGTTTGAAATTCATTCATGTAGCAGTAAATCTCCTTTTCTGAAAAATGTTGCTATCCATTTGCGGCTATTTTCATCTTTATGTTCTATTTAGCATTAAGTATTAAGTAGAAGTACTATAAAAACATTGTTTTATTTCCACTACTATGCATTAAATACGCATAAACAAGACAACTACAATGAATTCAAAGAAAAACATTAAATAATTACAATATTAAGTAAAATATATTAATTATAAAAATAATATTATTATTATATTATATTATTTACAAAAATATTTGTGTGTACAGCTAAAAAGAAAATACAGTAAAAGACATTACATTATTTACATTTTTCGAAAATGTGTTAAATCAAAGTGCTACAACAGTACACTGAAGATGTTTGAAAAGATGAGATCTGACACAAACAAGAAAAATCTGATCCATCATAAACGTTGGTAAATTAGGGGAGAAGTGTAGTGTTCCTTTTGAGAAGGAAGGACAGCATGTCACACATATTTTACCTATTAGTGTAACAAAGAGTCCAAAGTTATTTTATTTACTCCCAGGCATCTTTTAAAAAACAAATGGAGTGTGTTTAGCGGGCGCTGCGTATTGAATATTTCAGGTTATGGATAAAATGTCGTGTGTCTGACAGGAGCCACTATATAAACTTTGAACACAGGCTCTCTGACACATCGATAGTTGTAAATATTTAATTCACTGCCTCCGACAATGCGTGCCGCTGAAACAAATCTTTACCAGATTGAATTCTAGATAAATATCACGGAAATATCACCAGAGCTGATACACAGATTTTTTATGCGGTTGTTTTGTCAGGGTGGCCTTGTTAGGGCATCTCGTGTTAGTGTCAGCACTCCTGAGCAGTGTGTGCTGCGTGGGCAAATATACATATTATAACAATATAGAACAACTCAGACACTTATAAGTCCAAGCAAATAGTTAGTTAAAGTGTCCAGAAAAGTAATATGCAATTTCAGTAACAAATGAATAATATACCTACCTGCAGTCAACAAAAGATCAACACCATTTCATTTTTTAACTTTTATTCACTTAAATTCTCAAGTGTTAAAGCAAGAACAAAACATTTATAATGTCCTTTGGTGGGATTTTATTACACTTTATTAATACTGTATATGTAAACTGATATTCTTTGATGCCAGCACGTTGCCAATACAAAGGAAAATCAACTGCACAACTAAAAGAAATATTAACGAATAAAATAAGTGAATGAAAGAAATGGAAACCAATAAAAAATTAAAGAAACCAAAAAACAATTGCTTCTTCATTTGGATCAATTGATACATTAAAGGTTGCCTTTTCTCAATCACAGTTCGGCAAAGATACAAAAGGACTACACAAATCTTTTTTGTTTGCTCTGTCGAGAGGAGAACTTGCAAATACACCGATGGTTCTCTAAGCTCTTCGTCTGCTCGGGCGAAAACTATCCTCGCATCATGATCGTGGGGAGCGTGGCGGCTCTAAGATAGAAAAAAGAATCAGACGGCTTAGTTTGGAGTACCTTTTTTGCAAGAGGAGGGGAGGAGAGGAGGGGGGAGGGGCTTCTTACACATGTGCATCACTAACATCGGACAAAATAATCTTTCAACCAACAAGGGTTTTTACAGAGTAACGTTCACGAAAGCACAGGTCTGTGGCAGCATGGCGGGGTGGGGGAGATGAGGAAGAAACAGAAAGCTAGAGGGGGGTCGACGTGGGCGGGGGGTTTGTGTCACAAAGTGGCAGTCCGGACAGATTTCCTTCTATCCACAATGCACTGACAGCAAAGAATGCCTCCTGTTCTCAGTTTCTCTGATAAGTCTTCAGCAGCGGCCCGGCCAACGTTAAGCAGCAAGAAGCGTCCCAGGGGGGGGGGGGGGGGATCGACGACCACTGCCGGCTCACTCCAGAGCTGATTGGTTGCAGCTGTTGTTGCCGTGGCAATAAGAGAGGAAGAGAACAAGTCTGTCATCTTCAGTTATCCCCTCTCAAACTGGAGTACCTGGTATGGCTTAGAAGGGGTGGGGTCTCATTGTTCTTTGCACATTTCACTCTTATTAGGCTATTTTTTTTAAATAATATCTGGCATTTTTAGAAGTATATGTTTTTTTTTCATTTCTATATATTCTTTGAAATTCAATGAAAAGTGTTTGCACTCATTAGTCTGGCACATTCTCTTATCGTCAGCGGAGTGTCCTTAGAGTCTGGCGGACAAGCTCTGGATAGTCCAGAAAGCTCATGTTCTTGTTTAATGGTTGATTATTTGAAATGGGTGGGGGGGTAAGAGTGGAGAAGGTGGGAGTGACAAACTCCAACCAGGTCCCGGTCTCTTCAGAGCGCCGAGGCCCCCCCCAGCAGAGTGGAGCTCAGCAGCAGCAGCAGCAGCAGCCTGAGGGGGGGGGGAGGCAGGGCGGCCCCCGAGTCGGGGCCCCGGCAGCCCCCCAGCTCCGCCTCGCAGCGGGACTTCTCACACAGCAGGCCGGAGTAGTCTGAGGGACAGCTGCAGCGCACGTTGTTCACACACACCCCCCCATTCTGGCAGCGCAGGAGCTCGTTGTCACACACCCGGGCTGCAGGGGGGGGAGACAGGAGAGACGGGTGAGAGGCACACAGGAAACAGACTTTCTGGTGACACTTTACCTGAAGTGTTCTGCATTAAAAGCAAAACTAAAATCTAATTAATTTCAAATCACATTAAACTGAAACGATTGGGATCACTTTTTACAGTATGTTCTGATTTGAACAAATCAAAAACTGGCAGAATATTTTCTTCAAGTAAAGTGTTACCACATTTTATAGCAGCTTTAATTCAGTTGAATCTTTACAGGGGCAGTTTAAAAAAGTGGTGTCAATATTCATATTATTCAAAAAAGTACATTTCTACTACTATTCGTAAACATTTCCATATGCAAAATACTGGATTTTCAAAAATAATCCCTGATAAATAAAAGTAACGTAACATTATTATTTAAGACAAACTCTGCAGTGCATGCATCCTATTTGGTTACATTTGACTATAACAGGTTAGTAATGTTAGTATAAATCTGTTGGTAAAAGCACTAGTTAAAACCCTAACCTTAGTGTAAAATGTATAATATTTCTTCCGGTGGTAGAATCAAAAACACATTAATACCTTCTACCTTCCTCTAATGTACTCCTCTAATAATACAAGGCAACACTATGCCACCTTTAAAAGAAAAAAAAAGAAGAATCATCATCTTCTAATGTAAACATGATCACTCTGACTTTAGTGTGAGTAAACTCCCTTTTAATCATTTGCATTGTAACATCAGGGTTGATTAAAGGCCGCTCCCGTCAGTAGTGCTGCTGCACAGAAATCCTCACAGCCTGACAGGCTTTCCCCCAAACAGCGGCTTCTTAAGACAAACCGAACGTCAGGTGAAAATTGGTGTATATTTAGAGCTGGGACAGCGAGGCCACTCTATTCCCGGAGGAGGCTAGCTGTCAAGCAAGCTGCAGGCAAACAGAGCAGCGGCACACAAACTAATAAACCAACAGAGACAAATAAACAGTGATAAACACGGGGGCCACTCCTGCCCATTCCACTCCTTTATGGGAGTGGAAAACAATGTGGTGAGCAATCTATGAACTCTACGGGACGTAAATATCACAATAACAAATAGCAGGCCCCTCTCCTAATAGTGAGGAGTGATGGCTGCTTTCTCCCAGGAATAGCCAAATAGGGCTTTGATGGGGGGG